CCATGGGGCCTTTGATCCTCCCCCACCTGGACTTGGCCTGACTCAATTCACGCCGCAACTTTTTCCAGTCCAGGCTCAGCGGTGCACATGCGTCGCCCACAATTGCAGGCAGCATCTCCACCCATGTCTGAAAAATCTGCATTCTGCCAAAAACAAGCGGGTCTTGCTTCGAGGACAGCGCAAGACGAATGGCAATGATGGCACAGCCCCCCTCCCTTCTAATCCCCGTGAGCCCAGACACCTGGGAACGGAGCTTCTGGAGGGTTGACGGTGCCAACCCCATGCCTTCAAAACCCCACGTGGCCTGTGGGAGGAAACCTGTTTTACCTAACCTAGCGGCATGCGGGTTTGACTTGGCAACTTGGGCAATCATGTTGCCCCTACCTCTAGCAGCCGAGAGTCGTTTCTTCATCGTGCCGACCGAACGACGAGCCGACGACCCGTCCACCCCCAGATCTTTGACTCGCTGCGAGGTCTGGAGCTTAATTCCCTTGGCTCTGAGGGCCTCAGCAACTCTTTCTCCTAGCTCTGGCGGGTTTGAAACGATGGTGCTTCTACCTGAAATAACTAGGCCGCTGGCAGAACATTTCGCAACAAGTGCAGAGGCCACCTGCACTGATCTCTCCTGGACGAGACGGCTGTGCCCGAACATGCGTTGGGACATATCATCTACCCAGGTGTCCAATTGCAGCGGCCTGTACTTCGCATGCAGCTCGTGTAGGATCTCCCACAGTGAAACTCTCGAGATGCCTACCGACTGGTTGCATCCAGCCAGCAGACCGTTAAACGGGATGATGGTCTTACTCAGGCCCCCTTCGGCCCTCAACCTCCGAGGACTGAAGTGGATCTGCATGGCCAAAAAGAGTGGCCCCATGGGGTACCCCGCGATTTTGGCCAGCCTGAAGATTTCACCACACTGGAGATGATCGTAAAACTTTTCCAGGTCCCAGAGGATCTCCAACCAGGAAAAACCCTGGACACTGGCAACTTCCAGACGGAGCTGACGCAAGAAGGCCGCTCTGAGTGGGGAACTCCCTCCCACCGCCCGATCCCAAAACTCGCCCCCCTCCTCGGCCCACCTGGCGACTTCTCCTCTGCGCAGCACCGACCAGGTCCTATATAAGGCCTGGGTCAGGGTTATGGGGCGGTCAGCTGTCTCTGACTTATAATTCAATTGGACCACATTGTCTTCCACTTGCACAGGCCATTCTAGACACTGCTCTACACCCTGCAAAACCTGCAGCAGCTGCTGCTGGCCTTCCTCGGGGACTTGGGCCAACCATCTGGGGTTCTGGCAGTCGAGGCCCATACCTATGCTGTGCCTTACAAGCCTTGAGGCCAGCCCCGAGCTTTTCACTGGTGAGGGGGGCGGCCTCAGCAAAATCTGCCCGCGCGAGCTGCCTAAACTCGGGCCACCAAGGCTCCTCTTGAGGTCTCCCTCTAGGGCGGCCTTCGGGGTCCTTCGGGCACCAGTACCTAGTCCAATACTCAGCTTTCGCCTCAACAATCTTGAGCGGTTCCCTGATGACGCGATGGCAACTGTCAAACTCTTGGGCCAGCCTGGGGTCATCTTTGCCCCACGACTTGGTCCATCGGTGTAGGGCGCCTGCCCCAACTCGCAAACTGGAAATGGCCCACTCCTTAAATCCGTTGGAGTGGCCTCGACTTTGCTTGCGCTCGACCCCCCTCACCGCCCGACCCAAACTCCACCCCCACTCCCTCCAGAGTAGCAGCAGTGGCAACAGGCGGCGCAGCGAGTGCAAAAATCTGCGTGAGCACAGCCTGGCTGTGCTCATCCGTCTTGGTGGATTCCACGCCCTGGCAGCGTCGGGCCTGCTTGAGCATACTCTCCCAGGCACGGTCTACCAGGAAGGCCCTCTTCCTCTTGCCAAGGACCGCCTGCACTTCTTTGAAACGTGCCTCGAGTGCCATCCACCTCGCGAGGCCTTCCGAGCTCTTCATCCAGCCAGGCGGCCTCGGCTCCACCACGTTCACAATCTTCGTCTCGGTCAGGAGGCCACGACGTGCGGCAGCTCGCTGGTAGTCAACCGCGACGTCCCTCTGGGCCAGCAGGTGCTCAGCAGCGAGCGCGAACTCCATGTATGCTGCTGACACATCGCGTTTGCCCCTGGGCAGGTTCTGGTACCTCTCGTCCTCCAGGGCCTCGCACTTACACTGCTGGATCGCCTCCACGTGCTCGACCCATGGCTTGTCAGGTCCCCTCATACCAACCGTGATCGCTGCTGGCGCCAGCGGGGTGCGGTACTGGTACCTGAATGCTTGCTTGCCCAACTTTGTTATCATGCCGAAGTGAGGGGCCGCCCATGGCCCGTCCATGTCCCACTCTAGCGTGAGCGCCCCAATCAAGTCCTCCGATGTCATCATGTAGTCAATGAGGCGCCCACCTGCTGGGTGGCCCCCTGGCGTGATCCACTTCCCTCTCAAGTAGGTGTCCCAACCAGCGGGGCCAATCTCATCCAGCGTCATGTTCCAGTCGCCCATGAGGACGAATGGTCTGTCTGTGGCCGTGACCAGGCTAGCGATCTCACCCATCATGACAAGGTTGCAATCTGCCAGGCCGACGTCCACAACGAAATAGGCTGCCGCGAACAATATCTCTATGCCTCCTTCGAATCTCACGAGCTGGCCTGTCCACTGCGTCTTCTCGCCCGCGTGCTCAGGGCGTTGGTGGAGACGCTTGTGGCTGTCTGTGACTGGCCAACTCTGCCATCCAACTCGGGCCTGCAGTAGCACTCCACCATGCCCCTGCTTCCCTCCGTGGATCGTCGAGGTTGCTGGGACGGAGGCTCCGCCCCAGCCGTACTTCCTGAGCTTATTCGATGCCTGGGTTAGTCGCGCTCCCGACAGGTGATGCTCGACAAAGCCCACCATGCCAAGGTCCCTCGTCTTGGCGACCCTGGATTCTTCGACCTCTTTGATGAAATGCCACCCTTTCAGGCCCAGGCTGGTAATGTTGGCGAAGTAGAACTCGAACTTATCCGACTTCGCCTTGCCCCGCTGGGGCCACACCTCTCCCTGCCCCGCGACTCCCGCTCTCGCCCGAGTGGCCCCTGGCTGCTCGTGCGTCGGGGAGCGGGATGCGGGCAGGTTCGGAGGGGGCCCCACTGGGATGAAGACCCACTCCTTGTCCCCTGGCGGCCTCGTCTCACCCGTTTCAACGCCTCCCTTGGGGCTGGGTGGGGCCAGAGGGGCCGCCTGGGGAAAGCCGCCGCCGCCCAGCCTGTTGACCGCCTCCAGCACCTCAAGCAGGTCGAGCATGACCTGCGCCCTGCCACCCGCACTTTTGCCGCTTGAGGTTGAGGCTGGCCAGGCCGTCCAGGAACACTCGCTTTTCTCCTGCCGCCTTTTCCCAGAGCTGGTCAAGCTCGTCCAGGTCCATGTCTTCGCGCAGGTCTGGCACAGGCTTGTCTCTCCCTGAACACTCATCACCAGGTGCAGCAGGAGGATGCTCAGCCCCTGGGCCTGGCGGAGCCACGCCACTGGTCTTGAGCATGTCCAAGAACTTCTTCCACGTCTCGGACTCGAGCATGGCCTTGACCTCAGGCTGCTTCTCGAGCTCGGTCTTGTCCAGCTGATCGACGTCCCAGGTGGAGGTGCCGACGGGCATGGTCTTGACCAGCTCTTTGCGGGCCTCCTCCACCTTTGCCTTGAGCTCGTCCACCTGTGCTTGCATAAGCTTTTCCACTTCGCGAGCCTCATCGATGGCTTTGCGATGTGCCTCCAACTTCTGCTCCAGCGCGCCCTGCTTGGCCTCGAGCTCCGCCAGCTTGTGCCCCGCGATGGCGTGCTGGGTGAGCGCGGGCTTGGAGCCCTGGAGCTCCTTCTGCGCCGCCGCCTGTTTCTGCCGCAGGCGCTCGATCTCATCCTTGTCCGCGTCTGGGTCCAGCTCCTTCGCCATCCTGCCAAGCATCGCGATCCTCTCGCGCAGCTTGTCGGCCTGGTTGGCGCTGGCCCCACCTCCATCCTGGCATGCCCCGCCGCCGCCCGTGGCCCCCTTCGCAGGCGCCCCCCCCGCTGCAGGCTGCGCCTTGAGCAGGAGCTGGACAGAGTTGGCAAGCTTCGCAATCGATTGGTTTGTACTCTCGAGCTGCTTAGCCCAGACCCCTCCTGGCGCGGGGTGAGGCCCAGGTTTCGGCCCTCGCTCGTTCTGAAACTTCTTCGCATTCTGACGAGCACGATCTGTGATCGAGCGAGGTGCCGACGCCCCGCACACACAACGGATCCTGCTCGCCCAATTGCTGCTTCTCCCACACGCGCAACCCCACACGGGCTCCTTCGGCCCTGGCAAGACTGCGGGTTCCCCTCCGCCATTCTGGACCATCCCCGATCCTCTGGAAGCTGGGAGACTCCCTCGGTGCGCCGAGGGTCGAAAACTTTGCTCCGCCAGGAGCTCACCAAGTGCTTGGCTGAGGCAGCCAGGCCTCGGGAAGGGGCTGCCCTCCCACCTCAGCCTCGAGCCTCTGGAATCGGGACCCACGGGAGGTTAGCTCCGTGAGACTTGAGCCAAAATGGCTACGGCCTCCTCCTCCTCCTCCTCCTCCTCCTCCTCCTCCTCCTCCTCCTCCTCTTCCTCCTCCTCCTCCTCCTCCTCCTCTTCCTCCTCCTCCTCCTCCTCCTCCTCCTCCTCCTCCCCTCCTCCCCCTCCCCCTCCTCCTCCTCCTCCCTCCTCCTCCTCCTCCTCCACCCTCCTCCTCCTCCTCCTCCTCCTCCTCCTCGTCCTCCTCCTCCTCCCCCTCCCCCTCTTTACACTCGGACCTGGGGCAGAAAACATCTTTCAAGAACATGAGACCCTCCGCTGGCCCAAACTGAAGAACTATCGAGGGTGCCCCACCCCAGGACGCACAAGAACACCCAACAAACACGAAGAGCATTGGGGTACCCTCCCCGAACCGACCTCGAGCTTATACCTCGGTCCGACAGTACCGCTCCCATCCCCTCTCGCTCTCTCCTGGTCAACAGGCCAGGCACCCCCTGTTCGCCTGAGAGAGGTTGACATCCAAGTCGGGGATCTTGCGCAGCTGTTCGACGAGACTCTCGCACTCGCCTTTGACGATCACGTCCTCGGCGCGAGACGCGGCGACGGGCACACGACCGGCCGCAGGTCAGAGCCTCCACCCTCCCTCCTCCCTCCCTCCCTGCCTCCCTCCCTCCCCCCTCTCTACTCCCTCCCCCCCCTCTCCTCCCTCCCTCCCTCCCTCCGGCCGCCGCCCTGGTTCGAAAGTGTTCTGCAGGCCTCTTCGGGCCTGCTGCCAGACGCGCGGGGCCCGCCGAACTCGGCGCGCTGCAGGCCGGCCGTGCCTCTGCCGTGGCTGCCTGCCAGTGTCGTGCCCCTTGTTGTTGTGCCGCCCAGCTGGCGTGACCTCCGCTGCTGGCAAGCGCCGCCTCGGGGCACGCAGGGTCGCCGTCCGACATGCGCAAGTCCAGGCGCTGGCAGTGCGCAACCTGATGGGGTGTGGAGCCCCAACCAGACTCAACGTGTCACAGATATGCAGAGAACACGAACACGGAGGTCGTCGCCCCGCAGACCTGCCCGCTTGGCGCGCGTGCGGCATTTCCGGGCTCTGCCAGGCAGCTGGTCGGCCAGGTGCAGCAGGGGTTCGGGGTCGGCGGCGAGCTTGCGCGTGAGCAATGCTGCGCCGACGGCCACCCCCGGTGTGAGCTCCATGGCGTCAGCGAGCAGCCGGACGAGTCCGAGTGCCAGCCCGAGGTCGTGCAGGCGCCCCCGGTGGCCATCGACCTGATGCCCGAGCGGCCGGCGCTGTGCACTCCTTCTCCTTGTGTACCGCATTCGGCAGCGCCACCCGCAGTCGCCGCCGCTGGCGCGATCCTTCTCCTCTGGGCCGCCGTTGGCGCGATCCCGCCGCCGCTCTCCGACGTGAGCCGATGCGTATCGCAGCATGCGGAGGCTCCACACGGCGGGGCGACTCCGCCACGGCCCCCGCCCTTCGCCAAGGAGGTGCTGCCGAACGCCGCCCTCCGCCAAGGAGGTGCTGCGGCTGCTCCGCCACAGGTGCCGCCGCCGCTCCCAGGGACGGCCAATGGTCCAGCACACGCAGGGCCCAGTGAATCCGCCCAGGCAGTTGCCGTTGCCAACGAGGCAGGCGGGCCGATGGCACGGCCGCCTCTCTCCCTGCTGGAGGGCAGCCGCGACTCGCAACTGCTGGCAGCGCGTGACCCTGGACCGTGTTGCTGCTGCTGGCTCCGCGTCGACGCCGGCCCCCGGTTCGCCGCCTGCAGAGACGTCTGACGATGACGCAGCGGGTCGGCACCGGGAGGTCCCGCTGACGGCAGACGAGCCGCCCGACCCACCTCGTGTCCCTCCTGGCGCCGCATCTCCAGAGGACTCCGTCGCGGTGCTCCTCGAGGCCCTCTCCGCGGGCCGTCTGTCGTGCGTGCCGTGATTGGGGGCCGAAGGTATGCTTCCATCTCCTCTCAGGAATACGGAGCGTCCATGTGCAGCCACTGCTTCCAGAATTGATTTTCTTTCAAGACGGTCTGACCAGCTCTGCGTGGGGAGCCTGTGCGTTGCGCAGTTGCTGCCCACAGCAAAAATGCTCGAGCGCCCTCTCGGCGATTAGACGATCAGGTGGACCATTGGAGAGTGGGTGTGGAATGGACGCACGCCACCTAGGTTAGGAGTAGTCTGCCAGCGCTCCAGTGTCGGCCCCTTGAGTAGGCATTTACTCGTCCCCCTCGGCCTGACGCCCCAGACATCCGACGTCTCGATTTTTTTGAGACACGGGCCCCCGACCTCCCGACCACTTCCCAGGGAACAGCTTTTCAGCCCGACTCGTTGTTTGACGGTCCCGACTTGCGAGGGCCCCGGGAGGCCAACAACTACAAAAGCCTCCGTCCCGATTTTTTCGAAACGCCCGATGTATGGGACTGCGTGAATTCATTGGAGCGGTGGTAAGCCCGGCGGGTCCATGTGGCCTTGGCTCAGAGGAGGCCTGGCAGGCTGTCCGGCAGGCCAGCTTGTGGAGGCCACCGTCGCATTCCTGTTCCTCCTCCTCCTCCTCCTCCTCCTCCTCCTCCTCCTCCTCCTCCTCCTCTTCCTCCTCCTCCTCCTCCTCCTCCTCCTCCTCCTCCTCCCTCCTCCTTCGTCCTCCTCCTCCTCCTCCTCCTACTCCTCATCATCATCATCATCATCACATCATCAGCATCATCATCAGCATCAGCATCAGCAGCATCGCATCAGCATCAGCAATCAGCATCATCTCAGCATCATCATCATCATCATCATCATCATCATCATCATCATCATCATCATCATCATCATCATCATCATCATCATCATCATCACACCATCATCATCATCATCATCATCAGCAGCATCGCATCATCATCATCATCATCTCTCGTCGTCGTCGTCGTCATCTCATCCTCATCCCCTCATCCTCATCCTCATCCTCATCATCATCATCATCATCATCATCGTCATCATCGTCCGTCGTCGTCATCGTCATCGTCATCTCATCA